ATTACAATGACGATAGCGAAGCCCCTCCCTTCCCCTGTCATTGGCCGGCGGGAGAGTCGCAGCAGGCTCGGAGCGCCCCCCAGTGGCGGGAGGCCGGTAGTGCAGCGCTGTTGTCTCGGCCCGGGTCGGCGATGCGGTGAGCGGGGGGCCCGGGAGGAGGAGGAGCCATGGAAGAGGGTAAGTGCCCGGAGGGGGGAGGGGAGTGTGTGGTGTGCCCGGTGTACGGCACCGACCTGACTCTACCCATCTGTCCCCATACAGAGCTCTACTTCCTGATCGCCCGATTCCTGCAGAGCGGACCGTGCCGGAGAGCCGCCCAGGTACCGATCACCGACCGACCACACCGGGACCGGCACTGCCTACCGCTGGGGGCACCATTCCGACCCTCACTGGGTCATCATCCCCACCCTCAGGGGGGCATCTGCTCCTATAAATGGGGGAGGGGGCAGTAGTCTCCTCCCCCTGTGGGGTAACTACCATCATTCTGCCCCTCAGAGGGGGATCTAACCCCTCCCCCACCTATAGGGGCAGAATGATGGTACTTACCCCACAGGGGGTGGAGACTACTGACCCCTCCCCCATCTATAGGAGCAGATGCCCCCCTGAGGGGCAGAATAATGGTACTTACCCCACAGGGGGTGGAGACTAAAGAAGGAGAGGGAGGTGGGATCATTCTGCCCTTCAGGGGAGGGCATCTGTAGTGATGGGGGGAGGAGTCTGCCATTGGAGACAGATCCCCTCCCCTGAGGGACAGAAAGATGACCCCTCCCCCTCCATCACTATCTGCCCCTCGGGGGTATGTTCCATTACTTGGGAGGTTTGTGTCCTTCCCCCGGGGGGGCCTACATCTGTACACCTATATCTAGACTATTACCCCCCCCCTTGTATCATGTCCATCCCTCCCATCATGTCTGTCCTCCCCTCCCCCCATCATGTCTGTCCAACCACCCCTCCCATCATGTCCATCCTTCCCCCGGGGGGGCCTACATTTGTACACCTATATCTAGACTATTACCCCCCCCCCCCCCCCCTTGTATCATGTCCATCCCTCTAATCATGTCTGTCCTCCCCTCCCCCCATCATGTCTGTCCTCCCCTCCCCCCATCATGTCTGTCCAACCACCCCTCCCATCATGTCCATCCTTCCCACGGGGGGGGGCCTACATTATGTACACCTATATCTAGATTATTACCCCCCCTTGTATCATGTCCATCCCTCCCATCATGTCTGTCCAACCCCCCCCATTATGTCCATCCCTCCCATCATGTCTGTCCTCCCCTCCCCCCATCATGTCTGTCCAACCACCCCTCCCATTATGTCCATCCCTCCCATCATGTCCATCCCTCCCATCATGTCCATCCTTCCCATCATGTCTGTCCAACCCCCCCATTATGTCCATCCTTCCCATCATGTCCATCCTTCTCATCATGTCTGTCCAACCACCCCCATCATGTCCATCCCTTCCATCATGTCTGTCCAACCACCCCCATCATGTCCATCCCTTCCATCATGTCTGTCCAACCCCCCCATCATGTCCATCCCTTCCATCATGTCTGTCCAACGACCCCCCATCATGTCCATCCTTCCCATCATGTCTGTCCAACCACCCCTCCCATCATGTCCATCCTTCCCATCATGTCTGTCCAACCACCCCTCCCATCATGTCCATCCTTCCCATCATGTCCATCCTTCCCATCATGTCTGTCCAACCCCCCCCCCCCCAATCATGTCCATCCCTCCCATTATGTCTGTCCTCCCCTCCCTCCATCATGTCCATCCCTCCCATCATGTCTCCTCCCATCCCCCCATCATGTCTGTCCAACCACCCCCCCATCATGTCCATTCGTCCCATCATGTCTGTCCTCCCCTCCCCTCATCATGTCCATCCCTTCCATAATGTCTGTCCTCCCCCTTCCCCCATCATGGGGGGAAAGACAGCTCTGTCAGCTTCTGAACTCTTCTGCCTCCACTGTGTGTCATGTCTGTCCTTCCCCCTCCCCCCATCATGTTCATCCCCCCATCATGTCTGTTCCCTTCCCCCACCATGTCTGTCCTCTCCTACCTCCCATCATGTCCATCCTCCCCTACCTCCCATCATGTCCATGCCCCTGTCATGTCCTTCCTCCCCTCCTCCCCCATCATGTCCATCCCCCTACATGTCCTTCCTCCCCTCCTCCCCCATCACGTTCATCCCCCCATCATGTCCATCCTCCCCTCCTCCCTCATCATGTCCATCCCCCTACATGTCCTTCCTCCCCTTCCCTCCCATTATGTCCTTGCCCTCGCCCTCCATCATATCCATCCTTCTCCCCCACCCCATCACGTCTGTCCCCTCCTTCCCCACCCCATGGTGTCTAACCCCCGTCTATCATGTCTGTCCTCCCCTCCCTCACCCCATCTTGTCTGCCCCCCCGGATGTGCTGTCCATCCTCTGACTCTCCCTCTCTGTACATTGCAGGCTCTGTCGGAGGAGTTGGAGGAACACCAGGTAAGGTCGGGGGGCCATTTCTGGGGGGGAGGGGGAGGCGGGGGGGGGGCAATGTGACCTCTGATCTCACTGTCTTCCCCTCCCCCACAGCTCATCCCGGAGCGGCTGGACTGGCAGGGGTGCCGCCATAGGAGGACGTATCTGGATCTGGTGAGTGGGGGAGGGGGATGTGATCTATAGATCCTCTGATTGGGGGAGGGGGATGTGATCTGTAGATCCTCCGTGATTGGAGGAGGGGTTAGTGATCTGTAGATCCTCTGTGATTGGAGGAGGGGTTAGTGATCTGTAGATCCTCTGTGATTGGAGGAGGGGTTAGTGATCTGTAGATCCTCTGATTGGGGGAGGGGTTAGTGATCTGTAGATCCTCTGATTGGGGGAGGGGTTAGTGATCTGTAGATCCTCTGATTGGGGGAGGGGTTAGTGATCTGTAGATGCCCTGTGATTGGGGGAGAGGTATGTGATCTGTAGATTCTCTGTGATTGGGGGAGGGGTGTCTGATCTATAGATCCCCTGTGATTGGGGGAGGGGCATACGATCTGTAGATCCTCCATAGGAGAGGTGTGATCTATGGCTCATCACCTGTCCTTAGATGAGGTGGATGTTAGTTTTCCTGCTGTTTGATCCTGCCAGAAATGTATATTTGGCACTTCCTGGGAGCTGAGCTGAAACCACAAATTATGTATGTGAACTACAGAACACCTCCCCCCATGCCGTGGTGATGATGAGAAAGGAGAGGTGATCTGTAGTCTTACCTTCTTTGCTGCACTTGGAGCTTGGTCACCTCCCCGAGCCGGTACACCTGTGCAAGACTGGAGGGGAGGAGCCGGTACACCTGTGCAAGACTGAAGGGGAGGAGCCTGTACACCTGTGCAAGACTGGAGGGGAGGAGCCGGTACACCTGTGCGAGACTGAAGGGGAGGAGCCGGTACACCTGCGCAAGACTGAAGGGGAGGAGCCGGTACACCTGTGCAAGACTGGAGGGGAGGAGCCGGTACACCTGTGCAAGACTGAAGGGGAGGAGCCTGTACACCTGTGCAAGACTGGAGGGGAGGAGCCGGTACACCTGTGCAAGACTGGAGGGGAGGAGCCGGTACACCTGTGCAAGACTGGAGGGGAGGAGCCGGTACACCTGTGCAAGACTGAAGGGGAGGAGCCGGTACACCTGTGCAAGACTGAAGGGGAGGAGCCGGTACACCTGTGCAAGACTGAAGGGGAGGAGCCGGTACACCTGTGCAAGACTGAAGGGGAGGAGCCGGTACACCTGTGCAAGACTGAAGGGGAGGAGCCGGTACACCTGCGCAAGACTGAAGGGGAGGAGCCGGTACACCTGCGCAAGACTGAACGGGAGGAGCCGGTACACCTGCGCAAGACTGAAGGGGAGGAGCCGGTACACCTGCGCAAGACTGAAGGGGAGGAGCCGGTACACCTGTGCAAGACTGGAGGGGAGGAGCCTGTACACCTGTGCAAGACTGAAGGGGAGGAGCCTGTACACCTGTGCAAGACTGGAGGGGAGGAGCCGGTACACCTGTGCAAGACTGAAGGGGAGGAGCCGGTACACCTGTGCAAGACTGAAGGGGAGGAGCCGGTACACCTGTGCAAGACTGGAGGGGAGGAGCCGGTACACCTGTGCAAGACTGAAGGGGAGGAGCCGGTACACCTGTGCAAGACTGGAGGGGAGGAGCCGGTACACCTGTGCAAGACTGAAGGGGAGGAGCCGGTACACCTGTGCAAGACTGAAGGGGAGGAGCCGGTACACCTGTGCAAGACTGAAGGGGAGGAGCCGGTACACCTGTGCAAGACTGGAGGGGAGGAGCCGGTACACCTGTGCAAGACTGGAGGGGAGGAGCCGGTACACCTGTGCAAGACTGAAGGGGAGGAGCCGGTACACCTCTGCAGGACTGGGGGGGTGGTATTTAATGGGAACAGCCAGTCATTACTGCTCAGGAGTCGTCCAATTGAGGAGAGTTCTAGTTTTGGTGCATTGTGGGTAGGGGGAGGCGACTGTACATTTCCTGCTGTCCTTCAGAGGGCGCCATAATAATGATCCTCAGGATTCTCTCTCGGGGTGGGGGGGGGGGGGGGGGGGGGGTTGTGGTCCCCGGACCCTCCAGGTCACATGACGTCTCCTCCATTCTGCTCTCTCAGGTGGCGGCCAATTCTCACATTCCTCCCAACTACCTGCTGAAGATCTGTGAGCGGATTGGGCCAATCCTAGACCAGGAGATCCCGCAGAGCGTTCCCGGCGTACAGAGCCTCCTGGGGGTGGGGAAGCAATCCTTACTGCGCAGAGCCAAAGGTAAGCAATGGGAGGGTCAGAGACACCAACTACTGGGGGGAATCTCACCATTGTGGGAGGGGCAGAGACACCAACTACTGGGGGGAATCTCACCATTGTGGGAGGGGCAGAGACACCAACTACTGGGGGGAATCTCACCATTGTGGGAGGGGCAGAGACACCAACTACTGGGGGGAATCTCACCATTGTGGGAGGGGCAGAGACACCAACTACTGGGGGGAAATCTCACCATTGTGGGAGGGGCAGAGACACCAACTACTGGGGGGAATCTCACCATTGTGGGAGGGGCAGAGACACCAACTACTGGGGGGAATCTCCCCATTGTGGGAGGGGCAGAGACACCAACTACTGGGGAAAATCTCCCCATTGTGGGAGGGGCAGAGACACCAACTACTGGGGAAAATCTCCCCATTGTGGGAGGGGCAGAGACACCAACTACTGGGGAAAATCTCCCCATTGTGGGAGGGGCAGAGACACCAACTACTGGGGAAAATCTCCCCATTGTGGGAGGGGCAGAGACACCAACTACTGGGGAATCTCACCATTGTGGGAGGGGCAGAGACACCAACTACTGGGGAATCTCACCATTGTGGGAGGGGCAGAGACACCAACTACTGGGGAATCTCACCATTGTGGGAGGGGCAGAGACACCAACTACTGGGGGGAATCTCCCCATTGTGGGAGGGGCAGAGACACCAACTACTGGGGAAAATCTCCCCATTGTGATAGGGGCAGAGACACCAACTACTGGGGAAAATCTCCCCATTGTGGGAGGGGCAGAGACACCAACTACTGGGGAAAATCTCCCCATTGTGGGAGGGGCAGAGACACCAACTACTGGGGAAAATCTCCCCATTGTGGGAGGGGCAGAGACACCAACTACTGGGGAAAATCTCCCCATTGTGGGAGGGGCAGAGACACCAACTACTGGGGAATCTCACCATTGTGGGAGGGGCAGAGACACCAACTACTGGGGAATCTCACCATTGTGGGAGGGGCAGAGACACCAACTACTGGGGAATCTCACCATTGTGGGAGGGGCAGAGACACCAACTACTGGGGAATCTCACCATTGTGGGAGGGGCAGAGACACCAACTACTGGGGGGAATCTCACCAACCTCCTGATAGTGCAGCTTGTGATGTGATTTTCTCTCTCTATAGACTGCAGGAACTCGCCATGGAAGCCCTCCACATACGCAGCTCTACACAGGGGGCGACCCCCGGAACTCCCCGCCAACAATGGAGGACAGCTCAGTGTTGGTAGGTCACATTGCACACCAGACCAGCCAATGTAAGTAGGAGGGAGAAGCCAGGAGACTCGGCCAGGAAAGTCTCCTTTGTGCGCCCCTCTGATCCTGGATTCACTATGATACCGGAACGTTCCTTCCTCTGCTCCGCTCTGTGTTGGCTGCACTGTTATGGACGGCGGAACGTTTTCCAGTCCTCAGCTATATCTGCATAGGAGGAGGAGCTCACTGCACAGAACATGGTGGCCCCTCCCATCTCACCCTGGGCAATATAGCTCCTCCCAGTGCCACTATAGACTATATTGTTCCTCCCAGTACCAGCCTGGATAATATGGCTCCTCCCAGTACCTCCCTGGGCTATATGGCTCCTCCCAGTACCTCTCTAGTTCATATGGCTCCTCCCAAATACATCCCTGGGCAATATGGCTCCTCCCAAATACATCCCTGGGCTATATTGCTCCTCCCAGTACCTCCCTGGGCTATATTGCTCCTCCCAGTACCTCTAGTTCATATGGCTCCTCCCAGTACCTCCCTGGGCAATATGGCTCCTCCCAAATACATCCCTGGGCAATATGGCTCCTCCCAGTACCTCCCTGGGCAATATGGCTCCTCCCAAATACATCCCTGGGCAATATGGCTCCTCCCAGAGCTGCCCTGGGCAATATAGCTCCTCCCAGTATTTCCCTGGGTAATGTGGCTCCTCCCTGGGTGAAATAGCTCCTTCTAGCCCTGCCCTGGGCAATACAGCTCCTTCCAGGTACTCCCATCTTTGCCCTGGACATTTATTGCTCTTACCTGTGCAGTATAGCTCCTCCCAGCCCTGCCCTGTGCAGTATAGCTCCTCCCAGCCCTGCCCTGTGCAGGATAGCTCCTCCCAGCCCTGCCCTGTGCAGGATAGCTCCTCCCAGCCCCACCCTGTGCAGTATAGCCCCGCCTTTAAGTTTCAGTGGGAACTTATTTGAGAGGCAGAAGTTGCTCACTGGCCTAGCAACCTCTGGAGAAACTTTGGTTGAAAAACCCTGGTATAGCTCCTCCCAGTGTTGCCCTGGGCAATATAGCTCCTCCCAGCTCCATCTTAGGCAATAGAGCTCCTTCCAGCATTAGCCTGGGCAACAGCGCTCCTCCCAGTGCCGCCCTGGGCAACAGCGCTCCTCCCGGTGCCGCCCTGGGCAACAGCGCTCCTCCCGGTGCCGCCCTGGGCTACAGCGCTCCTCCCGGTGCCGCCCTGGGCAACAGCGCTCCTCCCGGTGCCGCCCTGGGCTACAGCGCTCCTCCCGGTGCCGCCCTGGGCTACAGCGCTCCTCCCGGTGCCGCCCTGGGCAACAGCGCTCCTCCCGGTGCCGCCCTGGGCAACAGCGCTCCTCCCGGTGCCGCCCTAAGCATTATAGCTCCTCCCGGTGCCGCCCTGGGCAATATAGCTTTTCCCTGTGCCAGCTTGGGAAATGGAGCTCCTGCCAATGTCACCCTGAACAATATAGCTCCTCCCATCCCTGCCCTGGGCTGTATAGCTCCTCCCAGCCCTGCCCTGGGCTGTATAGCTTTCAGTTACAGTGGGAACCATTTTGAGAGGCAGAAGTTGCTCATTGCTCAAGGAACCCCTTGCAACCTCTGGAGGAACTTTGGTTGAAAAACCCTGGTATTGCTCCTCCCAGTGCCGCCCTGGGCAATATGGCTCCTCCCAGTGCCGCCCTGGGCAATATGGCTCCTCCCAGTGCCGCCCTGGGCAATATGGCTCCTCCCAGTGCCGCCCTGGGCAATATGGCTCCTCCCAGTGCCGCCCTGGGCAATATAGCTCCTCCCAGTGCCGCCCTGGGCAATATAGCTCCTCCCAGTGCTGCCCTGGGCAATATAGCTCTTCCCAGCCCTGACCTAGGCACTATAGCTCCTCCCAGTGCCGCCCTCGGCACTATAGCTCCTCCCAGTGCCGCCCTCGGCACTATAGCTCCTCCCAGTGCCGCCCTCGGCACTATAGCTCCTCCCAGCGCCTCTTTTAGTAGTATAGCTCGGCCTTTCTCAAATGTTTCCATACAGAGGAACCCTTGAAGTAGCTTTCCGATCTCAGGAAACCCCGGGTGGTAATTACTACATCTACACCCCGTGATACATTAGTGTGATGGTCATTGGAAGGAGACATCTAAAAAGATCAGTTGTGTCAATGGGAACCTGTCTGTGCTGCCCTGGGCACAATGGCTCCTCCCCATCCAGGCCCTCAATATATCTGTGCTCCATTCGCTCCTATCCCAGCCCCTGACAGCTCTGAACCTGGAAGTGCTCACCTGAATCACATGATTGGGAGGGGATTGGAACACCTGAATCACATGATTGGGAGGGGATTGGAACACCTGAATCACATGATTGGGAGGGGATTGGAACACCTGAATCACATGATTGGGAGGGGATTGGAACACCTGAATCACATGATTGGGAGGGGATTGGAACACCTGAATCACATGATTGGGAGGGGATTGGAACACCTGAATCACATGATTGGGAGGGGATTGGAACACCGGAATCACATGATTGGGAGGGGATTGGAACACCGGAATCACATGATTGGGAGGGGATTGGAACACCTGAATCACATGATTGGGAGTGGATTGGAACACCGGAATCACATGATTGGGAGTGGATTGGAACACCGGAATCACATGATATGGAGGGGATTGGAACACCGGAATCACATGATTGGGAGGGGATTGGAACACCGGAATCACATGATTGGGAGGGGATTGGAACACCGGAATCACATGATTGGGAGGGGATTGGAACACCGGAATCACATGATATGGAGGGGATTGGAACACCTGAATCACATGATATGGAGGGGATTGGAACACCTGAATCACATGATATGGAGGGGATTGGAACACCTGAATCACATGATTGGGAGGGGATTGGAGCACCTGAATCACATGATTGGGAGGGGATTGGAGCACCCGAATCACTTGATTGGGAGGGGATTGGAACACCCGAATCACGTGATTGGAGGGGATTGGAACACCCGAATCACGTGATTGGGAGGGGATTGGAACACCTGAATCACATGATTGGGAGGGGATTGGAACACCTGAATCACTTGATTGGAGAGGATTGGAACACCCGAATCACGTGATTGGGAGGGGATCGGAACACCCGAATCACGTGATCGGAACACCCGAATCACGTGATCGGAACACCCGAATCACGTGATCGGAACACCCGAATCACGTGATCGGAACACCCGAATCACGTGATCGGAACACCCGAATCACGTGATCGGAACACCCGAATCACGTGATCGGAACACCCGAATCACGTGATCGGAACACCCGAATCACGTGATCGGAACACCCGAATCACGTGATCGGAACACCCGAATCACGTGATCGGAACACCCGAATCACGTGATCGGAACACCCCGAATCACGTGATCGGAACACCCGAATCACGTGATCGGAACACCCGAATCACGTGATCGGAACACCCGAATCACGTGATATGGAGGGGATTGGGACACCCGAATCACATGATTGGGACACCCGAATCACATGATATGGAGGGGATTGGAACACCCAAATCACATGATATGGAGTGGATTGGGACACCCCCGAATCACATGATTGGGACACCCGAATCACATGATTGGGACACCCGAATCACATGATTGGAACACCCGAATCACATGATTGGAACACCCGAATCACATGATTGGAACACCCGAATCACATGATTGGAACACCCGAATCACATGATTGGAACACCCGAATCACATGATTGGGACACCCGAATCACATGATATGGAGGGGATTGGGACACCCGAATCACATGATATGGAGGGGATTGGGACACCCGAATCACATGATATGGAGGGGATTGGGACACCCGAATCACATGATATGGAGGGGATTGGGACACCCGAATCACATGATATGGAGGGGATTGGGACACCCGAATCACATGATATGGAGGGGATTGGGACACCCGAATCACATGATATGGAGGGGATTGGGACACCCGAATCACATGATATGGAGGGGATTGGGACACCCGAATCACATGATATGGAGGGGATTGGGACACCCGAATCACATGATATGGAGGGGATTGGGACACCCGAATCACATGATATGGAGGGGATTGGGACACCCGAATCACATGATTGGGAGGGGATTGGGACACCCGAATCACATGATATGGAGGGGATTAAGACACCCGAGTCACATGATATGGAGGGGATTGGGACACCCGAGTCACATGATATGGAGGGGATTGGGACACCCGAATCACATGATATGGAGGGGATTGGGACACCCGAATCACATGATATGGAGGGGATTGGAACACCCGAGTCACATGATATGGAGGGGATTGGAACACCCGAATCACATGATTGGGAGGGGATTGGAACACCCGAATCACATGATTGGGAGGGGATTGGAACACCCGAATCACATGATTGGGAGGGGATTGGAACACCCGAATCACATGATTGGGAGGGGATTGGAACACCCGAATCACATGATTGGGAGGGGATTGCAACACCCGAATCACATGATATGGAGGGGATTGGAACACCCGATTCACATGATATGGAGGGGATTGGAACACCCGAATCACATGATATGGAGGGGATTGGAACACCCGAATCACATGATATGGAGGGGATTGGAACACCCGAATCACATGATATGGAGGGGATTGGAACACCTGAATCACATGATATGGAGGGCGGGCCCAATACTTTTGGCAATATACTGTATAAGTAAGAGCAAAAGCAGAGACCCCGGAGAATGAAATAGCGGCAGTTCCGAATTTTGATGTCGTGATATTAGCAGAATGGTTTTTCATGTAAAAAAAGGTAATTTTATTGCCCATAAACACAATATATTACTTTTTTTTTCTCTAATATAAAAGATGAGGTTGCGACGATTAAAAAGATCCCCAAGCCTTGTGTGCCCCCACTACAAGAACAATACATTACCGCTTCCCTACCGATCTATAGTAGAACTACTGCTACAGGGTGGCAGGGCTGCGCAGAATCACGTCTATATGTGTGATTTGCATTTCCGGGTAGGGGGCGTGCATGCCCCCCCACCCGCACCACCACCATTGGGGGCTTCAAATGTCGATCACACCCAGCGATCGCCGAGGAACAGTGACAGGGGAGACCGGAGCGTAAACAACACAGATCTCTCTCCTGCTAGCAAAGACATGCTGCTTTGTATCTCTGCACAGCATGTCTCCCAGCACACAGTTAACCCTTTGATCACCCCTCATGTTACCCCCTTCCTGCCCAGTGCCATTAGTACAGTGTCGGGGCTTTTTATTAGCAGTGATCACTGTATGGGTGTCACTGGGGATGTCAGTGACACCAAGTCAGTCCCCTCCCCCCAGTGTCAGAATGCCCGCCGCAGTCCCGCTATAAGTCACTGATCGCCGCCATTACTAATATAAAAAATAAAAATCCCCGTATCTATCCCGCCGTTTGTAGACGCGATAACTGTCACATAAACCAATGAATTTACACCTATCGGGAAGACACGGAGCAGAACACATTTTGGCCGAAATTTATGAAAACATTTTGATTTTTTTACTTTTTTTAGTGGACAAGCTTATAGCAAGAGGTCAAAAATACATTTTTTTTTTTTTCAAAATTGTCACTTTTTTTGTTTATAGCAAAAAAAATAAAAAGCGCACAGCCAATCAAACACCACCGAGAGAGAGCTGTATTTGTGGGTAAAAAGGACATAAATTTCATTTGGGTGTAGCGATGCATGACCGCGCAATTGTCAGTTAAAGTAACGCAGCGCCGTATCACAGAAAATGGCCTGGTCAGGAAGGGGGGGAAATCCTCTGGAGGGGGAGGGGTTAAAAGCAAAAAGTCACAAATATTGTTTTTTTTTTTTTTTTTTTTTTCAAAATTGTAATTTTTTTTTTTGTTTATAGCGCAAAAATTAAAAACCGCACATGTGATCGAATACCACCGAAAGAACGTTCTGTTTGTGGGGGAAAAGGACGTAAATTTCATTTGGGTGCGGAGTCGCATGACTGTGCAATTGTCAGTTAAAGAAACGCAGCGCTGTATCGCAAAAAATGTCCGGGTCAGGAGGGGGGGGGGATCCTCTGGAAGGGGGGAGGAGGGAAAACCTCTAGGGGGGGGAAATTCTCTGGAAGGAGGTAGGGGGTAAATCCTCTGGAGGGGGAGGAGGGAAATCCTCTGTGGGGGAGAATCCTCTGGAAGGGGGTAAATCCTCTGGAAGGGGGTAGGGGTAAATCCTCTGTAGGGGGAGGAGGGAAATCCTCTGTAGGGGGGGGGGGATCCTCTGGAGGGGGGGGGAATCCTCTGGAAGGGGGTAGGGGGTAAATCCTCTGTAGGGGGAGGAGGGAAATCCTCTGGAGGGGGGGATCCTCTGGAAGGGGGTAGGGGGTAATCCTCTGTAGGGGAAGGAGGGAAATCCTCTGGGGGGGGAGGAGGGAAATCCTCTGTAGGTGGGTGGATCCTCTGGGGGGGGGAATCCTCTGGAAGGGGGTAAATCCTCTGGAGGGGGAGGAGGGAAATCCTCTGGAGGGGGGGGAATCCTCTGGAAGGGGGTAGGGGGTAAATCCTCTGTAGGGGGAGGAGGGAAATCCTCTGTGGGGGAGAATCCTCTGGAAGGGGGTAAATCCTCTGGAAGGGGGTAGGGGGTAAATCCTCTGTAGGGGGAGGAGGGAAATCCTCTGTAGGGGGAGGAGGGAAATCCTCTGTGGGGGGGGGGGGGATCCTCTGGAGGGGGGGAATCCTCTGGAAGGGGGTAGGGGTAAATCCTCTGTAGGGGGAGGAGGGAAATCCTCTGGGGGGGGGAGGAGGGAAATCCTCTGTAGGTGGGTGGATCCTCTGGGGGGGGGGGGGGGGAATCCTCTGGAAGGGGGTAAATCCTCTTTAGGGGGAGGAGGGAAATCCTCTGGAGGGGGGGGAATCCTCTGGAAGGGGGTAGGGGGTAAATCCTCTGGAGGGGGAGGAGGGAAATCCTCTGTGGGGGAGAATCCTCTGGAAGGGGGTAAATCCTCTGGAAGGGGGTAGGGGGTAAATCCTCTGTAGGGGGAGGAGGGAAATCCTCTGTAGGGGGGGGGGGGGATCCTCTGGAGGGGGGGGAATCCTCTGGAAGGGGGTAGGGGGTAAATCCTCTGTAGGGGGAGGAGGGAAATCCTCTGTGGGGGAGAATCCTCTGGAAGGGGGTAAATCCTCTGGAAGGGGGTAGGGGGTAAATCCTCTGTAGGGGGAGGAGGGAAATCCTCTGTAGGGGGAGGAGGGAAATCCTCTGTAGGGGGGGGGGGATCCTCTGGAGGGGGGGAATCCTCTGGAAGGGGGTAGGGGGTAAATCCTCTGTAGGGGGAGGAGGGAAAAATCCTCTGGAGGGGGGGATCCTCTGGAAGGGGGTAGGGGGTAAATCCTCTGTAGGGGAAGGAGGGAAATCCTCTGGGGGGGGGGGGGGGGGAGGGAAATCCTCTGTAGGTGGGTGGATCCTCTGGGGGGGGGGGGGAATCCTCTGGAAGGGGGTAAATCCTCTGTAGGGGGAGGAGGGAAATCCTCTGGAGGGGGGGTGGGGGAATCCTCTGGAAGGGGGTAAATCCTTTGTAGGGGGAGGAGGGGAATCCTCTGGAGGGAGGGGATCCTCTGGAGGGGGGGGGGAATCCTCTGGGGGGGAATCCTCTGGAGGGCAGGTGGTTAAAGTACCCTAGCAGGTTCTCTCTAAAGAGGATCTTCAGCCCGTTTTTTTTCCAAGTACCCTAGCAGGTATTTCCAGTTCCCCCTTCTTACCCCCCCCCCCCCCATCCCTCCGACATTATGGTGCATGCCTGGATCTGCCGGCTGTTGGGTCCTGATGGAGTCGTAAAGTTTTGGGACTTTGGGGTCATGCTACCTGTCTCGGCACGTGTGTGGAGGAACCCCGCGTGTGCACGGATGTGCCGCATGGCTGTCGGGACCCGAAGTGAAGGCGTC